GGACCATAGATAAATATCTGAGATTATTCATCATTTGTACAATAATAAATAATTTACATAGCGGAAGAATTATGATTGAATATTAATTATGCGCATTAATGTGTGCATGATTTGTTAGCTGATTATCATGAAAAAAAAAGATGTTCATAATCTTAATATTGTAAACATCTAATGACGGATATTTATGGAAAACCCGTTATGAATTCGAGATGTATGTTAAGTAGTATGTTAATAATTTAATCAGACTTGATTTTAAGTTGATTATCGAGTCGGGACTATTGCATCTATGCGAATGATAGCTATTACGTCGAATATTGTAATGTATATTTTAATGACGCTTTCTGCCACTGAGGCGGAAATAATCGAATAAAAAAGTGTTTTCCTTATTCGCAATAATACACAAATGGTCCAATTTTTAATAAATTCAGTGCTCCAGTTATTCCGTAACAAGCTGCCTAAATTGTTGAAATTTCGTATTTTTCACGAGAACTACATTTTGACGACACGGTTTCCAAAATTTTCGTCTTTGTACGATTGAACAGTCGGGATATGTAACTCACACGTGACACATCATCGTATCAGGACAGATTTAAAAAATTTATATTTAAATATAAAATTAAAATTTTGTTTATTTCAATTCCGTATTGCTTTTGCGGAAATTACGTGTATACTTATTATCGAACAGAAATAATTATACTAGATGCTCTAAGGTAATTGCCTTTCCTTTTACAGTACATTTCTTGATGAACTTGGAGTCGATTTTTCTTTTTAGCGAAAATTCTGTCTTCTTTTTCATTTATAATTCTCTCTCTCTCTCTCTCTCTCTCTCTCTCTGAACTTTAGTTATATAACTGTTACTGTTGCAGTCTATTATTTTTAATACATAGCAATTTATTTATAAATTTTAAGTAAAACATGCTGCTACTGATATATTAATTATCAAGATATTAAGGAAATTATCGTCAAATAAAAATTTATTCTTAATTCTCTAAAAAATATTTGTTAAGTGCATTGAACATAAACTGAGTCATCAAAACAGAATACTTAAATAATTACAAATTTTCATATTCTCTTTAAATTTGAAACCCAAAAAATATATGAAATATTACTTGTGCATCCAACGAATAAGTATAACGAAGGAAATTTTTTTCTATCAAAGATAATTTTTAATCAATATCGTTAAAGTTATTAGTGTTTTTCAAAATGGAATTACATATTTTTCTATTTTTTGATTTCATTTTTTCTTGATATTCAACTGATATCACAGTATGACTATTAATAAATAATCGTAGTATCATTCCAAAAAAGTTTGAATTTCGAACTTTTGAAGTTCGTCATTCAGAAGTTTATAATTAAACGAGAAAATCTTTGAACTATAAAAATCATTTTATCATTTTATGAAATTAATCAGGCATAAATGTTTAGTGAGTATCTAACATGAGATACAGATTCCACACATTTATTCATATTTTCAATTCCAGAGGTATTTAAATATGCAACCTTTTTCTTTTGGTGACTGCGTGGCAGACTTGTTTCCGCGAACCGACAATATTACACCTGTAAATTCTGTGCGCGACTTTTCCGACACTACGTACGTCCTGACGCGCGTCGCTCTATGCACGGGAAAACGTATTTAACCGGTAATGAGCGGCTGGAAGTTTTTGTTATAATTAGGTTGCTACCTCGCTTCCGGTATACCGGTGTGCGAGCTCTCACGGAACTGAGATTTCTTCATCAGCCCCTCTTTCTTTCTCTTCCACTCTTCTCTCCATCTCTCTCACACGGTGCCCTAAAAAAAAATGTATCACGCGCATATACCGCGCACATTGTACACGGGAATAAAGATGCGCAAGGTGCACCCTGTGATGCATATGCACGAGAGCGTTTTACAAAAAGAGAAAGAAAAGGTGTATGTGTGTAAGAGAGAGAAAGAAGGAGATAGAGAGAATACTTGATTAGCCCTTTTTCTGACATGCGTCCCGGAAATGTTGCCTTTATTAACCAAGATGAAGAGGAAACTCCGGCACTACGGCTTTTCCTTTGTCGCAGTGAACAAATTTAATTTTCACAATGTTGAGTCTCCTAGATCTTTTATTTATTTATTCATTTATTCTTTATTTTTTTTTCTTCTACCTTTATCTATCTGCGGAATAGATTTACGTCAAGAATGAACACGTAGTTTTCAAAGTATTTTCGTGCATTATTTAAAGAAATTACGAATAGAGCAAGGGGAAACCTTGTTTCAGACTTTCGGCAACGTGAGCTTGAATTTACTGAGAGATACTACTGTCGCAGCATACTACTGTTCCTAAGGTCCCACAGGTCACTCTGCAAGTAGGTGGGTATAGATTGCACCGTGTGTGTGTGTGTGTGTGTGTTTAAGAAAACTTCTCGTCTTTTCTTTTCTTTTCCTCGTCCTATAGGATAAACAAACTTATCTGTCTGATCTGCTAAGGCTAAGAGTAAAAGAACGTTCTCTTCATCGATGTATCTCTAACTCTACATAGCCGAGAGACACTATTGATCGATTCGGCAGATGCAGGACAAATACTGGTTTATGCGGACACATATCACGGGATCGGCATTCGCTTAATGCATTCGCGCATCATTTTCCTTTCGGCTGTTCGCGAATTGCATATCGCGTAAATAAAGTTTGATAAGAGCGTTAGTTGCAGGTCGCAGTCGCAAGAACATCGGACATCGGATATTCCCTGATATTCATGAGCTATGAAACTACACTTGGGCTGAACTATAAAAATTGTAAATTGCGATTTAAATTTACGAACAAAACTACGATCGATGACTTGGACTTTTCTTATTATTGAGATTAATAACGTCTATTATATATAAGCCGATATTATATGTATAGTCCGTTCTCTTATTTTAAGATTATCTTAAGTAATGTTTAAAAGGCTAATACTCTATAACTGCTATGAGATTTTAATTCTCTCTTATTATGAAGGAAACAACTCATTTTTTTTTATTTATAGGAATGCGATTACATTTTGTAATAAAATTAAATTGATATACGCAATATTTTTTCGCGGATCGTCAAAGTTAAAAGAATTCAAGCGAAATTCGAATTTCAAACGTTTAAAGGTCACCAGTACTTTAAAAATTATTTTATCTTTTTTATTTTTGACACTGATTACGGCATACCTGAGCTTTCTTTTACCTTATACACCGTAACTTTTTTTATTAATAAAAATACATACATATGCTTGTTACTATTATATATTCTTTAATATGTAGTATTTCGATTAGACTTCGATTAAAAAAGTTTATTATAATGTGTATCATATTTATACAATATTTTTCACAATACTTAGCCTGATAAATTTGTGACGAAATGCTAGCTACCAAAGAGTTAAGACTGTAACGGTTTTAAGATGGTCTTAAATAGACCAAGAACCGAATGAATGCCATAATGTCTTAAAATATTAATACAAATTATACGGTAAATCTGACATTTATTTGTCTCTCTTTATTTTTTATGCTTTAATCTTTTAAATTAATCTGCATTAATTTTAAATTAATTAGGATTAATTTTAATTTTTCAAGAGTTTTTGCTTCATCTGTAATTACTGCTTTTATAAAAAGTTTGTATACAATCATATCCTGTTGACCGAAATAATAAGTACAAAATGAACAAAGTCGCCGACATCACCTTTATATTTTCATCCATCATAAAACAGTAGATGTTTTTCCGATTCGATTTCGTTCAAGTCTCTGACAGAGATAAAATGTAAAAATACTGTACTATTTTATCAGTGGGCGGACAGTTATCTTATTCGTTTTCTATGTTTCCATAAATTATTAGTGATATATTTTTATTTTTTCATTTTGTGTATCTGCGAGAACAATACATTTTTAATATCTTAACATTAACGTTATATATATGTATATCACGAAATGTTAATGTTATACTTCGATCTTTTAATAAATTTCAGAGAAGATGTTTCGTCTTATCATCTTATATCGTTATTAGTGACTGATATAAAGCATCAAGAAGTAAAGTATATTTGTCAATTCATATCTGTTTTATAATTCAAAATTTCTTCTCCACCTTTCTTTCGTACCTTCGAATAAAAGAAACGAATAGACATTCTGTTTCCGGGTTCATCTATTACGGTTCCAGAAATTTCCGTAAAATTTCTATTCTAAGAGTAATGAGCAGCAATGTATATTTAGGTCGGGGAATTTTATAAAAAAATTGTGAGAAGGGGCATTATCAGAAATTGACAGATTAATGAAAAAATTACACACTCGGAGTAATAATAATCCGCACTTAATCACAGTGGCCTACATAAAAAAAAAAAAAAAAACTGAAATAATCGGTAATGAGCAGCAATATATATTTGGGTCAGGAAATTTTATAAAAATTTGTGAGAAGAGGCATTATCAGAAATTAGCAGATTAATGGAAAAAAATATACATTTGGTGTAACAACAATTCGCATTAATAACAATTACAACGCCCTAGATTAAGAAATTAATCAAAATAATCGGTATTTTGCAGCATTATATATTTGGGTCGAGGAATTTTATAAAAAAATGTGATAAGAATAGACATTATTAGAAATTAGCAGAATAATGAAAAAAAAAAAATTACACACTCGACGTAATAACAATCCTTAGGCATGCGTGCGCTGTGCGCTTTACATAAAAAAAAAATCACTCAAATTAATTAGTGGAGGCGCAAACCATAGAGATCGTTTGAAGTTTGAAGGTATCGCGTTCGTTATTAATAATTTAACAGCGCATCGCATTACTCGTGGGAGTCGCTGGCTAATATCCGGCACGCTGAACCAGCTGCCGCAATATCGCGGAATCAGCGCACGAATTTTCGGTCATCGCTTTATCCCTCGTGTATCTCGGGCGCGCGAGCCGCGGTACCCCTTTCCGAATAATCGAGCTTCCTCTTTGCGTCGAGTTTCCGCCGCTCGCGGGTTCCGCCGCTACACGGACACGTCCCGTGTCCCGTATCCCCGGCTTGCGGTACGGAACACTCCGGGACAGGTTCCCAACGCGGTAGCGCGCCGTTGGCCGCAGTACCGTCGTACGGTTTGCGCAAGAACCATCCGCTCGTTTCTCATCTCGGCATGACACTCGGCTCACCTGTCATCGTACTGTCATAAAGACCGAGTCCTACCCTCCGACCCGTTATCGATCTCACATCTTCGAGTCTTCCTAAGTCGTCGGTCTTTCGTCTTTCGTTTTTCGATCAAGATACTGTACCAAGTCATCGGGCTTGCGTGAATAGTGAAACGATCGATCGAACCCATTGATCGCGTGAACACCGGTGAACGATGTGATCGCATGGTTCCGATGGTGTACGACTCGGCCAATGATCGAGAGAGTCCATCGAAACACACCTATCAATGATCTTTCAAAGGATGGACATAAACGCGACGACGCTCGATAGAGACGAGGGCACGAAAGGTTTCAATGCTGGCTTCACTCCTGGCGATATCGTCTTCAAAACGTAGACGTCTCATAACGCGACTCGGTGATTGAGAATCGATACGCGTGCTGCTGGAAGAATTATGTGACGATCGTGTCCGTGCTTCTTCACAATTGGAATTTCAAGTATCCCTTGAAAAAAGACGAAAGTCTCTTCTTATGAGAAAGATCTTGAAGAGAGGATCTAAATATCCAGGTCGTTCTCGTATTAATTACGAGTTTTCACGCGTTAATCACCTGAGATTGTCAATGCGCGAGCGGCCGCTTTGCTTTTAATCGTTTATTTTTAATTCGTTTTTAGTTCCCGTAGTTTAGATTTTCTTCACACTTGTTATTTTATCATTGTTTAAATTAATAGCGTTAAATTTCAAAACATTTAAACGAACGCAGATGAGATTAAATTTATCTTCTTAGATATTTGAATTATATTTATATTTATTATAGATTTATTTCGATTATTAATCGATTCATTACCTCATTAACCGCGATATATCCAATTTATTTTCACGTGAATTATTCGGTCTTTCAAATTGTTAAACGACATTTATTATTGAGTTTACTTTTCTCACACACATACACATTCAAATTATTTAAATATTCCTAATTGTTAATTTTATCATAAACATAATTGACATATACACGTAATTGGATTTTTCATTAATTATTCCGATAATTATTATTTATCAAGATTTCATTTTCGGGGCTGTCGAATTTTTAGACATTTTAACAGTCGCCAGGGGACAACGATTGCAATAGGGTTCGAAAAGACCGACGGAGAGATACCTACTGACCTATACTGAGAGCACAGAAAGTTCAGTGATCACATAACTTCACGTCGTCGAATGTGCTTCCGCGAAGACAATCTCGTGAGTGCGAGAAATCAAACGGTGAGACTCAAACGTGATTTATTTTTCGTCGCAAAAGTAAAAATATCGATGGAAGGAACTAGATTGCAACGCTTCGACTTTTCCTTCATTTGATGTAAAATATCAACAGCGACAATATAACTAAATAACTCTAAAAAGCAGCAACAATATTAATTAGAGCGATATTAATTAATGCGTTCGAGTAACCTGCGTATAAATAAAAAAAAACAATAAACTGTGATATAAAACTGGAATAGGTGGTTTCCCTAAATAAACCACTGCCATCAATTGTTAAATTAACCGTGGACAAGAAATCTCATCCTTTGACGTGTGTTTATATGTTTGTGTGCATGTGTGGTTTATACGCGACGGAACGTTTGTAATGAGATCGGACAAGTCAACGGAGTTAAGCATCGCTAATTATCTTAGAGCCGTCGTATAATTGCCACCAATTAATCAACGCGACTCTTGACGCTCCTTGTCTCTGTCGCATTCGAGCTCTGAATTTCACACTTCCTGCCGTCGCCAGGTGAGTCGAGCTGTGCAAATACAATTTTTCGGCTATAATTCGATTATTTGTTGAGCTATTTATAGGCATTTACACTTATTTAATTAAATAAAAGAAATTTGGTCAAAGCAAATCTTAGTGTTTAAATATTTCTATATAAATTTATATATATATATCTAATTCTGCAAACCACGTGACGAAATTTTTTTTATACTTAGGTATCTAGACATAAACGGCACTCTAATCGGGTAAGATACTCGATAAATACATTTAAAATCTTTTTTGCCGCGCTTGCGAACTAATATAATCGATTTTACAAAGGCGGAAGTTTCCGTTGAAACTGTAATCGAGAATACACACCGTGTAATACGATTTTTATAATTCCGTTCGCCTCCCGAGATTCGAGAACAATGATAGAAAATAAAAAAAAAAAAAACAAAAACCGGAATATTTAATATAAAAATATCTGTGTGCTTTATATATTTATAACATTTCAGTGGATGTGGAGTTCTAAGGACTCTTAAATAAAAAAGGAAAATGAAATTAATTGCTCTCTATTTTATATATGTATTTATTGTATTTTCCACATTTTTTAGTATTAATTGTGGAATTTCAAATTTTATTTAATTTTCAAAAAAAAAAAAGGATATTATTGAGGTTGACAATGTCAAAATTACGAAATAAATGGAAAGAATCTCAATGATACTACACCTATAATTAAAGATTAAATTCGCACATATCGATATTGCGTAATAAGTTTTTAGAACTTTATCCTTCTTTTTTCAACTTTGCCCGAGTACGCTCGAAAGAATTGCAGCATTTCTTCGGGTTAGCTGCAGCACTAACGCGCATCTGCCGCCGCATATCTCGCGGCTCGACCTCGCCGATTCTTTACATTCGCATTTACGTTTACGAGCGTGGAAAGCATGAAGATAAGTTGGAGTCGTTGCGGCAACTTTCCGCGGTGAACGAAATTTACCATTGCATTGTGCGTCTCTTATCGGCCATAACAGCTTCGGACTCTGGTCTGTCGTTAATCTATGAAGCACGGACTCTGAGGAACTTTGCTTTTTAGGAATTTCTTATTTGCGATTATTCATCAAGCATATAAAGTATATAAAAAACTCATACCTGTTTTACATCTGGTAAATAGAAGAAGGAAAAGGAGAAAGAGAGAAAAAGACAGTTTATTACAAAAATAATATAATATACCATATATAACAAATATTAATAATGTTAACACACAAATGATGTTAATAATAACTTGAATATATTTTTATTCTGGTTATTCTTTCACATCTATATTATAGAATAAACTATAAAGCAATTTTTAAAAATTTTTCTTACTCATGTAAAAAGATAAAAGCAATGAAAATATATAAAATTATAAATTATTTTGATATATATATATATATATGTATATATATCTTAACGAGAGAGTTAAATCTCGCGTATAATTGTTGTGATCATCCTTTTTATGCATTCATTTTTTCCATTGTGCCAGAAAGAAAACATGATTAATCATAATACACACATTTTTGCTTCATTCATTTTAATATTGTTGAATATTGTTGAAATATTTTTAAATATTTTTTCATATTTTCATGGTTTTCATCTTTCGAGGCGAAATTCCGAGAAATAATATTTTCAAGAATCTCTGGAAAGCCTTTGAAACCCACAAAATACCGTGCGACTCGGAAAAGCAGGAACATTTTCATCTTGCGATATGGCATAAAAACTGCCGATTCAGCAGATTGTGTTTTATTTGTATGTTGTTCTTAGGAAAATGCGATATTATCACGGTGAAAAAGTTTAAACGGGGCAGAATACAATTTGTTCATCTATACGCGTTGGAATAGAAGGAAATATTTCTAGTTTAGTAGCCGCGGCGTTTATCTGCCACGCTCTCCTGTTTGCACATCCCGTTTGTATAAAGATCGAGTGTTAGAATGAATAAATCCATTACACGCACTTACACACACGTTACAAAAAAGCACCTCTTAATTCTAAAGCGTTCTAATTTTATAAATGCAAAATTTAATTACATAAACACATTATTCGCAAATTATTATTAAGAGAATTTTGATAATAATTTTATGATTTATTGTGACAATTATATATATATATATATAATTATACATTCAATATTATATAGTTATACATACATATATATAGTTATACATTCAAACTTAATTAATTTTGATATTTTGTTTACGACATTGGATTGAAATAATTTTATTTTAATCTATTATTATTATTATGCAATATAGACACTAAATTAATAATAATATCTACAAAATATGTATACGAGTTTATCTGATAAAGATATCTCGATATAATTTCAAGATTTTTTATTATTACATAATACACACAAGGCTCGAATTAATTAATTAATTTATTTATTATAATATTCATAAATTTTAAGACACAGAATGTCTTAAAATAACATAGTAAAAAAGTTTTTAAAAAAAGAAATTATAAAAGTATTTGCCATTTGTTCGGAATGACTTTATACTTTTTATAAAAGTTTAAAACTGGCTCCAATTATAGATTACGAATAACAGTATTTATTATCGACACGCAGCGATTTATAAATAAATAATATTAGGTGTTGGAATTAATTCGTAGCGTTTTACAAGTGATGGGAAGTACTTTCATTAATGTATTTTTTAATGCTCATGTGAAATAAATAACATTCTTTCATTAAAAAACGCTACGAATTAATTCCAACACCTAATAGTTTAATCGTAATCTTTAATTAGCCATATAATTTTTATGTTATATTTTAAAAACTGTTGCTCAGAATGACAAATGTTCACAACAAGAAATAAATATAAAGTACTAAAATACTAAAATTCTTTACTAAGTATAATGTAGAATTTTAATAAACCAGCTGTCTCAGCAAAGCGCGATTAATGTATAAAAATTGCGGTTGGTTCTGTCCCCGAAATATGATAAATTAATGTTTATTAAGCATTGCTAGAAAATGATGTCAATTTATATAATAAGGAATTCTGCAAGCTCATGTAAAATTTTCAATTATATTCGCGTAAACACCGTTATCCCAATTGTTATTTCGTTGTCATAAACGTATTCACGTGTTAGTGGTTTTTGCATACGCAGAGAATTTCATGTGGATTATTACGTTTATTTATTCGGCGGAGTTAGCTAGGTGGCCTGCTATAAAACAATATTTATTTTACATTACACGCAATGCGCTTTCCAACAATTTTTTGCAGTATTGTGTTTTGCATGTGCAAATCTACTGTACATAAAAGATCTAAACATGAGAGAAGTGTACGTTATAATTACTCAATTGTATAATAAAACAAATTGGACCTTACTTTGCAGTTCTGAAATATATAAGAAATTGAGATACTTGAAAAATTAATAATTATAATGTACGGTCTACTTTATCAGTATTATATTTTTATAATTCAAGATATATTAATGTTAAATAGAGAATTTTTTAAATTATAATATGACATAATAACGTAATATTTCTAATCATTGAAGTATCAAGAAATTATTTATTGTTCTAATGTTTCTCAATGACTAACTAAAGTATTTACTAACTAAAGTATTATTGTATACTTGAGTATTATAGAAAAATGATAACATTTTAACGGCATTGTACGTAATTAAATATATTGTAATATCTACAAAAACTCTCTACAAGCAGAAATTTTTCGGTTTTATAATCATGGACGAATCAGAATTTTCTGGTTAAATTTGTTAGAATTTTGATTGAGACAATATTTCTGGTAAAACCTATTACAATTCTTATTTTTATCAAAATAATTATATCAGCCAGAATTCTATCAGTTATCTCAATTAGAATTCTAGTAGATTTAGCCAGAAAATTTCTGATTCGTTCATTTTCCACCAGAATTTTTCAGTATGTCCCAATTAACTCCGCATAAAAAAAATTCTCCCTTCGAGAAGATTTATCACGTTAAATTACTTTCTCACGAAATTTCGTTTCTCACAAATTGAGAGTTATTTCACGAGTAGGTTCATCACCGAAAGCATCTCGCATTTCATCCGTGCAAACTTTAGTTCGTCCCTCTTTCCTCGCGATATTGTGTGCTCGTCGAATCGCGAAGCCTCGTTTTGGCGTGTGATATCCGGAGTTTATTTTCGTGCCCTCTCATTCTGCCAAAATGAGGCACGTCGTGGAAATTAAACTCGAGAATAATGAGTTAATTTGAGCCCGCGATTAGTTACTCCACTCCTACCCGATGTGGACGCTCGACTAGAGTTTCGCGCGTGGAATTGCATCGAATTTTTCAACTGTAGCAAACGTTTGTGGCAGAAATGAAATGGAGCATATAATGATAAAGATTGTACATAATTAATCTTCTTTCCGAACTTCCTTTCAATTATACTAATATCGTTCCGATACTAATAATTTATTCATTTGTATACATCGCAACGTCTTCTTCAAAATATGGAAATTTAAATATCTCTTTTTTTTAAATATATACAAATTATCAATTCCGCGGAAATAAAGTTATGAAAATTATTAAAAAGGAGAAAGGTAATGTAAATGTCTTCTTTTTATTTTAATCCGATCTAATAATTTAAGAAATATGTATAAGAATATTTTAGAGATTCTGTATTATTATAGAACTCAAATAGTTTCGTTATTTAATGCAACAACTATTGAGCTTCCGATTACATGATGTTTTGCAAGAATGTCAGAAAGTTAATACTAGAGTAACCCAAGTATCTTCCACTTCGCTACTAAGCTGAACCCAAATCCACATGCGTAGAATATTTTGGTGCTATCTTCATTATTCTACGCCTGCTTACGTCAGCTACAAGAATGCGAATCTTCGTTGAAGAAGCCGCGTGATTTGCGAAACTTGTCGACAACGTACATTCCGAAAGTTCCGCCTCGCGAAATTTCGTTTTGCATAGACCTCCTTTCGTGCTCGTTGCGATCAGGAGTTAGAGAGAGATCGAGGAGGAAAGGTAACCACTATTACGGCACACGCAAGGAGTTAATTAGGTCCTGA